TCGGTGATATAAATCTTGACAAGGCTGGTTTAAAATCATTTCAAATGTCGCATTTGATTTAAAAATGTGGTAGATGTGGAGCATTGGGGCTTGTTACGGCCCTGCGAGACATGTATGTAGATCACAATCGCTGTCTCCAGAAAGCAGTCACAATTATATGTTTCAAATTTTTTGCTGCCTTAAAATATTTTCTTAAGAAAGCCTCATCGTCCTTAAAAAAATTTTACACTATATATCTCCTTTCTAATATTAGCATCCACAAGAAGCTTCAAACCATGTACTCGCAATCTACGCCTTTTTAGCTTCTATTTGCACTGGGCCTTTCGACGTTTAACTGCTTCATTTTAGCCCTATATTTTTGGTATTACTTTAAGGCATATCTTCGGTTAGTGTTTCGCTTGAAATCTGACTTAATATCTTTCACATAACTTAGACAAATATTTGGATAATGGGTTTTATATGGAGATAAAACTAGATATCAACGAAGATACATTGGCCATGCAACAACGTCCAAATTTCCTTCATACAGAGACGTACAATTTCGCTGTAAATTGATATTTTGTAATTTTCTGAGATGATAGGCAGAAGCATATCATAACACAATCATTGGATCTTGGTCAAGCTAAGATGACTATCCGATTGGCCAAACCATCCCATTTCAGTACCCGAGAAGTCGAATACAATGTTCTTACATGCCAATCGATTGATGGTGATGGAGGGTTACCTACGGAACCATTTTCCACCCATGAGTATGCACAAAGGCACAGTTGTTTAATAGATACGCGACACAGGGATCTGCAAATGAAGAACATGATTCGTGTATAAATAACCGATTTCTGAGCCTGAGGGTTATGGGGTAAGGAGTTGGTGTGTGTAAGTATGAGAATAGTTGTCCAAGGGGGTGTCCAAACTGACCCAGAGACACAACAGCGTAACTTGAGGCGAGAGGGTGCGCAATTGGGGAAGCGTGGTTGGCGGGAGAGAGGAAAGGGGACGGAAGGCGGTCCAGGAGGGTGTGCGCTGCCCGATTGGTGCGCATCACACAGCGTGTGAGGCACCATTTTGTGCAGGCATGTGAACGTCAATTTAACAAGTGAATTTTGATAAACAGGCGCTTCAATGGCAACCACAAATAGAAGAAACAGGCGTTTCAAATGTGGATTTAGTGTGCGTTTGATTCGAACCACTCACTTATCGAGGGGCTGCAGATCCGACACTTTGTAATCAAATGGTCAGTTGATGTCGTGGATAAATCGGCCAACAAATGTCGTAGCAATTCAGTACGTCGTTGATTTAACTGCTTTTGGCTCATCTTTGCACACACCGGAGTGCACATTGTTGCAGCAGAAGAAAAAGAGCTGCTTCTAGACATTCCCAAGGTGTTATCGCGATAGGTTGGATGTCCTGTGAAAGCTTTAGGGCAAGTCCACTAGGACAACTAAGATGAGTGTTAGGTCTGCTACCCTCAAATAACACATACAATTTCAAGAGAAACAATCCTTTTAGAAACGTGAATAAAAACAATGGTTAGTTTATTATCCAATCAAAGAAGGTAATGAAGGTTACATTCATGTTGCAATGGACTAAAGTAACCACTAGGCAGCTATTCAAAAATTGCTTTATGTTTAAATTCGAATGACTGTGCAGCTTTCGACCTTACCGTATTTCGGTGATTTTTCATAATCATCTTTTGGACATTCTTACTACGTCCAAACTGATTCGAATGTGTCCAGTTTGCAAAAGTTTGTTTATATTTCGTCAACTCATTTAGTTAAGTAGCACACTTCTCCAGCACATCACTTACGACCACTTGGGTGGAGTCTAGAGAGACTCTTTTGATCGATCACAAACGGGCAATAGCTTGGGCGCAGTCACTGGCTCATATCCGCACACACATCCTACTTGTTCTAGAGGGACTTTTCCGAAAGATATAATTACATCTGCTAAAATTGAAATCCACCAAGTTGTTGCCACGTTGCAATAGAAAATGAAGTATGCTTTTTCCGATTTCAATGTAGCTCTTATTTGTGCCTCGAGGAGCACTCCATCTAACTCAACCCTGTTTTCGAAATATGCCTTCGAATGAAAACAGCATAGTCCAGTCTCATGGTGTCAGCACATTCACACCAAGGCGAATTTAGTAAGTCTAGTCGGTCATCCGTAGATGGCAGACGAGAATCGTACTTGGTCCGGCCTCTTTGGATGTTAATGCAACATGAACTTAATTTGGGATGGTCAAATTGCACTTTCCATTGGAGAGGTGTGCAACTGTTTTTTAATGTCATTTATGCATGCACAACAAAAAACTGGACAAAAATAACAGCTTTGATTTTTAACATGAATATTCTTCGCTGTCGGCTGCCTGCGTTCGTTGAATTCAAGGGAAAGACTGTTCGTCACACTCGAACGCATCCACGATTGTAGCGAACGAGGTTTCACAGTTGTGAGTAAAATGACTTCGAGAGGACAACAAGATGAAATTGACTGCGCTCTAGGGGTTCTGCAAATGTGTGAACGTAAGCAGCATCCTCGTATCGAATCGGTCTCACTACGTTAGTAGATATTCTCGCGGAGAGTCCAAAACAGAACTCCTAATTGTAATAAAATCCAGGGAGTCGACAAGTGGTAATGCCTGTCAATAATGTCTGATGTGTAACCTCAACTCCCGAATCTGAGTGGATACGAGGGTGCTCATATTTGAGTATCTTCGTTATATATGTTCGAAATGGTGAGAAACGTGGCTTAGTCTCAAAAACTAGCCCACGATCCATGACACAGAAATAAGGACATGGCCAGAAGAACTTAAAATGGGGCACATTTGCATCTGGTGGATGATTAAGCGTATCTACTCTCATAATTCCACTAAATCGCATGGCTACATGTCCTGTGAACCTATCGACAGACTGCTGCGTCGGTGCGGATATTTCGATTGGAGCCTGGTGCTCAGTTCACCAGGTGGATCGTAATCGCCACTTTTGACAAAGGAGAGCCACGTGGTCAGCGTGCAGCGTGTGGCGTTGAGCGCACAGTTCCTCATCGACAGAAGCGCAAAAGCGACGTTGGCGTGAAGAAGATACAACAGGCAGTCAGTTGGATGACTTTCCGATGATCAGTGTGAGCTGTTTCACTGTAGAAACTGTCCTCGGTTTCGTCTACACTGGTTGCATCGGGATATACATGGACAAGACAGCGAACCTTTCCCTGATAACAACGACTCATGGTTGTTCAACCATTATTTCGTGGTGCATTCAATGTCTTCGAAGCAGGTTTGTTTGGTAAATAAGTCTCAATGCACGATGGTTTTGTCAATGCATTATCTTCTTCCTCTTTATATTTGAGCTGCTGCACACTCATCCATATAAGATAATCCATTTTACTGCTTAAAAATGGACATCACTGTTTGCCGCAATGAGCACAACACAGAAGTTGATTAGTTGCATCATCCATTCATATGCCATCTTCACCATCTTAATCGAATTCACACTGACCAAGGACAACGTGAGAACATTCTGGGCAGTTTCCAACACAACAAGAAACAGGCATCTTGTTGTGGGCCTCAGCATGTGGTCTTGAACCACGCCGTGGCCACGGAATTAACCCTAGTCCGATTACGCTCGCGTGATACCCCCGATGAAGAAAAAGATCGGAGAGGACGTGACACAACCATTTACTTCAGAGCTCTACCACGTTGGTGGCGTTGTGTCATGTGTGGGGTTTGAGCGTGTGTATTTATACCTCGGATGTGTGATTCATACATGCGCGAACATCGAGACCTAGGTGTGAGGATAATGCAAGATAAATATCCGTGTGAATGGGGAAGAGTTAAGGATCCGCAAGGCTTTCAACATGTTGCGAAAAGTGGAAACCTGTGTCGGAAGATGACGCAACCGAAATAAGGAGTGTCAATAAACATGATTCACAACAATATCTTGTACGTGGTAGCAGCCAGTTTTGAGAGCTTTGCCGCAGTCGTGGGGCTTCTGTCCTTGAGTTAATTCGAATATCTGGCCTCCGAACTCACAGAATTACGCCTCCATAACGTAAGGCAGGATTCAAAGTGGCGAGTTGTAGGGATTACCTAGGTGATGCCTGGAAGCTGGCGAGTTTGAAGGGAGGTCCTGAGATATTTTGTGATGGATTCCAAATTAGGTAACTTGCCTTTACCTAGCGTAATTTATTTACAAAATAGAACAACACCTATATATTCCATTTCCACAACGGGGTAATGTTTGTAGAAATACTGGCATGGACTACCAAATTGCGCTCGCCAGGATTAGTCGTTTA